TAATGGGGCCTCCTGCTGCCGCCGCACCGCTGGAGCACAATTTCTGTTCTCATCCTGAAGCAAAGTTCTTAACCTGAGGTACTATTTCTGGGTTAGCGGAGTCTGTAACCTAAAGCGTCTGTAACCCGAGGTACCACTGTAGTGTGAGCAGGGTTTTTATTATTATTTACATTTGTATTCCACCTTTCCTGCAAGTTGAAGGTAGCATACATCCTCCTCCCTATGTTATCCTTACAACAACCCTATGAGGTAGGTTAGGCTGAGAGTGAGTGACTAACACAGAATCACGCAGTGGGGTCCATGGCTGAGCAGGGATCTGAACCCTGGTCTCTCGGGTCCTAGTCTAACAGCCCAGGCACTGGACCACGCAAACACTCTGCGGTTGAATATTTTGCACTAGCTGAAGCATTCAGGCCAACCTCAAGTCTTTAAATGCAAAGCAGATGCTCTACCACCGAACATCTTATAAGAACTCCAAAGCCCACGGTTACACCACGGGGTGGGGGGAGACCCTGGCACTACCTGAAGGAGGCAGGCAGATGTTCTCATGTTTACAGCGGCAGGCAGACACAGCTCCTCATTGGGCAGGAGCTTTCCTTCCCTTGGGACCTGTGAGTGGGAAGATAGACAAGGAGTCTCCAAAAAGGGATCCTTCCTATGCTTGCACATCGCTACCCTGCTAGTGAGACCTGATGAAAATTTAAATGCTCCCTTGATGTAGAAACCCGCCACTGTCCTCCCACTTGTTGTTACATGGGCGTTTGGCAACATCCGATGCATCAGCATGCAAATGTGTCGAAGTACCTGTGAGCAGACACTCCCAGCTGCCTTTCAAATTAAACCTCTGCAGGAAAGGCTGTGCCAATTCTTTGCAGTAGCTATGCAGCCAAGGCGTTTGAGAGGAGAGAGAGAGAGAGCGCACATCTGAGCAGCAAACAGGAAGTCCTCAAATTTCAGTTTCCAGCACTTATTCCCATCACTGGGGCCACCAGGGCAGGACTTTTGGGCACAAGTCCAATGGATTGTGCAACATTGTGCCTTGCATGCAGATGGTCCCTGGTTCATCCCAGGTAGCGCCAGGTGAGATTCCCTGTCTGAAACCTTGGAGAGCTGCTGCCAATCAGTGTAGACAATACTAAGCCAGATGGACCATTGATCTCGCTATTTGTTTTAATCTCATTTTGAGGGGTGCCTCATTTTATTTTATTTTATTTGCACCACGTTGCTGCATGCCTGGCGATAGCATCTATAAATATATAGATGGTGAACTAATAATACACATTGCCATCCTTTTTTTTTTTTTTAAGCACTCTTTCCTGGCAAATCATTAAAACATTTGAAAGCATTCCTGTTTACCCAGACATTTGGTAGAATGTTTTTAACTGCAACAGTTTTAGTTGTTATTGCTTTTAAAATATTTTAATCAGCTTCAGAACGTTCTTGCTTTGTTTCTAAATTGAGTGCCTGTTTGCCACCCTGGGCTCCTTGGGTAGGAAGTGTGAGATTTAAATAAAATAAACAAACAAATAAGAAGCCCAGGGTCTAAATTACCTAAATGGCAACATCGCTTTTCCCCTTCCACAGACCTGGCGCTGTATCTTGATAACTGGCTGTGCATTGCAAGTGCAGACACCTGCAGGCTTCATTCTGGCTCATCTGGAATGTTAACCAGGACCAGGATTGGCTGGTATCTAGACCACAGACCACCCAAAAAGTGCAAGTGTTGCTGGTGAAAATTGCAAGTGATCACAGCGAACCAAGCAATGCAAGAATTACAACAGCAACTAGGGATGGAGAGAGAAATCTGGTTCATTTAAAGGTGAACAAAAGCAATCCTTCAATATTTGCACTTCTCCAGCTAGATGCAGTTCTCCTGCCAAGGAACCTATACAAAAACGTATATGCTAGTGTGTGTTGAAATGCAGATACAGTGGTGCCTCGCAAGACGAAATTAATCTGTTCCGCGAGTCTCTTCGTCTAGCGGTTTTTTCGTCTTGCGAAGCAACCCTATTAGTGGCTTAGCGGATTAGCGCTATTAGCGGTTTAGCAGCTATTAAAGGCTTAGCGGCTTAGCGGCTAAAAGGCTATTAGCGGCTTAGAGGCTTAGAAAAAGGGGGGAAGCGAAAAAAATCTCAAGACTCGCAAGACATTTTCGTCTTGCGAAGCAAGCCCATAGGGAAATTCGTCCTGCGAAGCGCATTGAAAAACGGAAAACCCTTTCGTCTAGCGGGTTTTTCGTCTTGCGAGGCATTCGTCTTGCAGGGCACCACTGTATATAAAACTGAAAATAACATACAAAAAGGGGAAATCACTTTGCAGAAACGTGTGTATTAAGCATAAATGCATACAAAAATGTGTAAATTCAGAGAAATTCATGCTAAGCAAACAGGAATGTCCTGCACTATCTTTTAACTCGTAAGTTCAAACAGCAGTGGCACAAGACTGGCACCAATGCAGGTGAATCAGAAAAAGAAATGCACCAGTTTGAACATGCCCTTCAAAGTACATACGGAGGAGATTTTTAAAAAGCAGAAGAGATAACCTCTGCTGAGGGTGGCAGACAGAAGGCACATCAGCAAACAACTCCAGAGCACTCTGAAGCAGCCAGCCAGACACCTGCCTATCTAGTGTAAATATCAACGGCATATTGTGGTGCATAACCCAGCTGTAAAAAGTCCCCATGTGGTCTGGGAAATCCTGACAAGGTGCAGGTAGAAGTCTCCTTTTGTGAAGTGGCTTTAAAAAACCACAACAAAATCAGAGTGTGCCAAGTATTCCCTGGCTTTAGATGCTAGAAATCTAGGCAGGAAAAACAGATGTCTAACTCCCCCACAAAAAAGTAAGATTTTGCAAGTATTCACTCCTTTGAAAATCCCACTAAGCATCCTTTTTACTCTGGTTGTTGCAGTCGCAGTTCCCTTGCCGCCTGCCCTGCCCCCCAAGCTGTTGCTGCTGCTTCCTTCTTGGATTAGTAACGTAAGCCGATCCCACCCAATCAAGGATCACAGAGTGAATGGGGTAACCGTACGATGCTACATATTAGGGATGGAGGGGAAAAATGGTTTAGTTCACCTTTTAAAGAAAATCCGCCCAAAGCTCACTTCTTGGAACAGTACACAGCTATCCTTTTGATAGTCACACTTCTCCAAATTTTGTGATACAGTTTCCCAACCCAAAAAGCCACAAGTTTTGTATTAGAGGAAAGTGTGCATAAAAATGTCTATATTAGCGAAGACACCTTCATCTGCTCTAGCTGCAACAAAACATGTCTCTCCTGTATCAGTCTCTATGGCCACAGCAGGTGCTGCAACCTTCCAACAGTTTGACTTCACCCCCAAAGGCACACTCCTCCTTTGTCTCTCCTTTGTGTCACCCAGGAGAATGCAGCTGTGGCGATAAGGAAAGTAGAGTCATTCCGTTGTCTGGAGAGGTTGTTTCCTGATTCACATGGAGAAGCCGTTTTCAATGAAGCCCAGTGACAGAAGTGCACAGCTGTATTGAGGAAGCACTGGGTACTGAAATTTTGTACCTCCTAACAATTTTGTGTCCGGGGCAACCGCTCCTATGCCCCCCCATGCTACGCCACTGGACGGTGCACACTGTCCTGCCACCAGCTCCTTGCTGCTGCTACTTGCCTGCCCCTGCCCCTCCACAAGCACACACATCGGCTGCCTCTCTGCCTGGTGGTGGAGCTTGCCCTAGGCAGCACTGAGAAAACACAATGTAGCTTAAATTCAGAGGACTCTAAGTAGCCCGGCTCAAGCCTGAGTGCAACTAGACAGAAACACAGAGAGAGAGAGAGAGAGAGAGAGAGAGAGAGAGAGAGAGAGAGAGAGAGAATCATACACAGTTGAAAAGCAAATGCTCTTATTGAGAAAGGTTATTAGGGTGTTCGGGAAACAGCTGCAGGCCCAGATGTAGAAATGATTGCTCAGTTAAAGATTTCTCAGCAGAAGATGGCTGTTGAATAAACCAGTGCAGAGCTTCAGAAGGGCATTTGAAGGAGCTGGATTCCTTAAGGCAGAACACTGCACAGCCAACGTTTCATTTCTAGTAGCGGAACAAAATTGCAAACAGCTGGTGGAAGATTTTTTAACATTTCTTTCAGATGGGATGATATTGCTTTTTATTTTTATTTTTTAGCAAACAAACAAAAACCAGGCAGTCATACAAAAGGCATTCTTTTTTCTCCCCCACCCCTATAAATAGCTAGCACTGATAAACTCACATCCATTATGTGAAAACAACAGTGATCTAGATGCGGTAGTTCTTATTCATTTCTTAAAATTGTACTCTCTCCATGTTCCACAGTATGCTCTAGGGCAGCGGTTCTCAACCTGTGGGTCCCCAGGTGTTGTTGGACTACAACTCCCATCATCTCTGAGCCCTGGCCTTGCTAGCTAGGGGTGATGGGAGTTGTAGTTCAACATCTGGGGACCCACAGGTTGAGAAAGGCTGCTCTAGGGCTTAGGAACCTGTTGCCCACCAAATGTTGTTGGATTCCAACTCCCAACAGCCCCAGCCAGCATGGTCAATGGTCAGGGGATGCCAGGAGTTGCAGTCCAACAATATACTGTATTTCACCACGTAATGGTCACATTTTTAATGCTGATTTTTCTTTTCAGAAAGCTGAGGCGCAACCATTATGCGAGGAAACAATTTTTATTAATGAACATAGTTATGTTTATGTTGCTCATGGCAGCTTTGCCCACCCACCCACTCCCCTTGCACCTTCAGCTGGTACAGAGAATGCGCACTGCGAATGCCCTGAGACAACTGTGTGGTGAATGTCTTGGGACTGATATTAGGGACCCAAAAAGGGGGGGAGCGACTATTATGCTAGTAACGAGGGCCGCAAGTTCTGTGCCCCTAAATCCATGCAGCTCTCTGGGATTTCAGGCAGGGGTTTCTCCCAGCCCCACGTACAGATGCCAGGGATAGATCAAGGCATGCCTGCCCTCCCTAGCAGCTTGCAGAGGCTTCTCCGTTGATTTTACAGTGGGGATGGGACATAGCTCACTGGTAGGCCACCTGCTTTGCATGCAGAAAGTCCCAGGTTCAATCCCTGGCATCTCTGAAATCCTGGAGTGATGCCTACAGTTGATGTAAACAGTACTGTATTAGATGGACCAATAGTCTGTCTCTGGATAAAGCAAGTTCCTATGTTCCTATGTTCCTTTGGCAAACAGGGATGGGGTCAATATCTACTCCAGGCTGAGGAGGATCCCAAGTCAAGACACTCTCCATGTCCCTCCTTCCTTCAGTGAGTCCTCATTGCAACAGTTCCAGGGGGTTCTTGTAAGAGGACCTCTGTTTAGGGGTGGTGTGGCTCCTCAGCAGATGCCTGGCATGTCAACTCTTGACCCTGGTCCTGGATGTGGTGGTTTAAGGATCTGGATCCAAATAAATGCTTTCCATTTATTCCATTTCCATGGGAGAGTATACTTTCAGGAAAGGCCTTCCTAGACATTTCCACATAATTTAAAACAACAACAAGAACAAAACAATCACAACTGCATTCTCCATTCATGGGTATTCCCTTCCACAGAAGGGAAGCTTCATCGTCCGATTAATTATTCATTGCAAATTAGGCACTCGGCTGTAGCAGTTAAAAATTTTTGCAACAGACATTTGTAGCCTGGATGCAAAATCATTCTACACAGTGGTTGTATTTGGATGCATAAACACTTGGTAAAGAGGAACGAAAGTGGAACTCTGTTGGCATCTTGCAGACCAGCGAGGGGGGAAAAAATCAATGAGTTGGTCTTTAAAAGCACCATTTGCAACCCACTCCAATTATAACAACCTACATTCTTCATATCACAAAGATGTAAACCAATGAAGTGTTTGTACTATTGTTATAATATGTTCTTCTATAACAACTCCCTTTGGAATCCTCATCCCACCCATCCTCTGCTTCGTTTCTGCAGAATATCTATTTGTTTTCAGATGGGGGTCATAAAACCCCCTGCAAGTTGCTCCACCCACTTTTGCTTCTGGACTTGCCCATCACTGGGGTTGTGGTCCTTGGAAGGTTGCTCAGAAAGGAATGTGGCCCTCAGGGTGGAAAAAGTTCCCCATCCCTGCCTCATAAGAGCAAGTTGCTCAGTTGGAGCTCTCCATGGTGCTGTAGCATCTTACCTGCCTTTGCTCTGTGGGTTCCTCCATGGAACCTCAATAAGATTTTTTAAAAAAACACAACACCTTGTATTAAAATCATTCTGTAAAAAACAGCCTGGTGCACAATGAACTGGGCAACTTTTTAAATCTGTCAAATGGTGGTTTAATTGACAAATGCAACCCAGGAGAAGACAATGCGGTGCTCCGCAGATGTTGCCAGACCTGGACTCCCATCCGCCCCAATGTTCAGCTAAAGAATCCCCAACAGATGACCGACCAACCAACCTTTGTTTAAAAACTTCCAAAGAAGGAGAGTACACCAACCATCCAAGGTAGTCTGTTCCACTATCAAGCAGCTCTTTCCCCCAGAAAGTTTCTCCTAACATTTCGTCAGAATCTCCTTTGTTGTGGTTTGAATCCATTGGTTCGAGTCCTACCCTCTGGAGCAGCAGAAAACAAGTTTGCTCCATCTTCCATGAAACAGCCCTTAAGAACTCTTGTTAGAAAGGCGAGGATTTACTGCAATGTATTGTTGTGCTTCTTGCCTGTATTTCCTAAAATGCTTGAAAGGAAGGGAGCCTTCGCTTCACCAGCAGCAATTGCATGCTGGAAGCCAAGCGAGACTGCCTTTTTAGAGGGACACTTCAGGCAGAAATGGAAACATATCATATGCTCTGATTGGACATGGTTTGCAGCTGTAATGCAGAAGTAGAGAGAAGCAAATATATCATTTCCTATCTCTCCCACCATTCGCTCCCACCTCAAGCCCCCGCCCTGGGCAAACACACAGGGTTTTCTTGATCTTATCTTTACCTTTCACAAAGCCTTTAAAAGCCATCTGTAGGGATTTGTAAAGGCTGTTTCTTGTTTCAAATAAACTGCAAAAGTGATCTGTATGGAACAGATGGAAACAAATAAAAAAAGCTTATCAGGATGCCAGGGAGGGGAGGGTGTGTGTGTGGAGGTAACACTTGCTACATTTGGAAAATATCAGATATGAGTTAGCAGAAATGTTGCCTATGAGATGCACCAAGTTGGTGCTTGGCCAGCAATTTCCTCTCCCTCATAATAAGCCAGAGTGCTCCGCAGCCACTTGAGATGGATAAACCCATCAATTTTGGTTTCTCTCTTTCTCATTTCTGCACTCTTCATTTTTCTGCATCACTCGCCATTTCTTTTTAACATCCTCATTAAAACACATCTGCATTCCAGTGCGAACTTTCTCCCAATATATACATTTTTGCAAAGCACTTGCCCATAATACAGTGGTACCTCGGGTTACAGACGCTTCAGGCTACAGACTCTGCTAACCCAGAAGTAGTACCTCGGGTTAAGAACTTTGCTTCAGGATGAGAACAGAAATCGTGCGGCGGCGCAGCAGCAGCAGGAGGCCCCATTAACTAAAGTGGTGCTTCAGGTTAAGAAGAGTTTCAGGTTAAGAATGGACCTCCAGAACGAATTAAGTTCTTAACCAGAGGTACCACTGTATACTGCATGTTGCATATTATTTTTCACTAATATATGTATTTTTATGGTGGCTTCGCCATACTGTAAGCATTTTTGCACACACTGTTTGCTTTGAGGATTGCATCTTATAATTGGAAGAAGTGCACATTTCCAAATATAACTTTTTTTTTTTTAATTTGCAAATAGTTTCAGAGAGTGCAAATTAGGTAGGTCGTGATTACTGGAAGAGTGTGCCCACTGACCTAATGTATCCAAAGTGTGCAGTGTAAGGTTTGTGTATCTGGATACAGAGCAGACTTTACCTGTTATCAGACTCAGAGAGATGCTTGTACAGTGAGTGAAATAACAAAGCCAATAATAATAATAATAATAATTTATTATTTGTACCCTGCCCATCTGGCTGGGTTTCCCCAGCCACTCTTATTGTATGAAGCACATAACTTGGATGGAAAAGTTTCCATTTCTAACCTACCTACCTAATCTAGAGATAAACAAGGTAGCCGTTGCTTGCTCCTTTGTTCTCAGAGGATAGCTCCAGCTTGACCTGTCATCTTGAGATCCAAGAGAGGAAGAAGAGGTTGTAAACAGGATGCAGCCTAACAGGTATCAGTCTAAACAACAAAGAGATAGAGAGGTCAGCTCAAGAGCTTAAAGGTGCATGTATATCCATAAGGAAAATAACTTTCTTGGCTTTTAAATTAGGGAAAAATTGGATCACTTAAGGAGTTTCCCAAAACCAGAGCTGATGGGAATTGCAGCCTCCAACATCAGGCAGGCAACAGATTCCCCATGCACATTGGAAGATGCCTTACACTGAGTCAGACAATTTGGGCTCCAACTAGCTCAGTATAGCCTGCACTGACTGGCAGCAGCTCTCTGGGGGTTTCAGGCCGGGGAGATGTCCAGGATTGATCCTGGGATCTTCACGCAAAGCAGATGCTTGGCTGCTGAGCGGCAGCCCTTCCCACAAGCCAAAGGTGGTGGTGACTCATTAGCACAAGCTTACTCCCTAAAAATTAAGCTGAGCCATTTACCAGACTACTTTGGATTGCCTTCGAGAAGTTATTAGGGAGCTAATTAAAACAAAGAGACGTCTTTGGTATTCAGAATTCATAGTGCATTTATTCAGCAGCACTCAAGGCAAAAGCTGGAGAAAAGGCCATGGATGACAAAGCACCATTCTTCTTGGGATGGAGGAGGGATGTCCACTCTGCTCCTTGTTACACCAAGGATTCTCCTCTGATCTGAATATACTGGTAAAGATGAAAAGGGGTTGCTGTCTTTCCTTGCCTTAAAATGAATGGGAAAGAGAGGGAGGGGACTTGGGAACTGCTCATAAACTAAGGCAGCAGGGTGATGGGAGTGTCCTGGGAAATGATAGTATAAACTATGAAAGCAAAAGAAGCATCCCCCACAAAACACAAAATCTCTTAGGATTTACATAACACAAAAGGAAAAGCACACATCCAGCAGAGTTTCAGGGGCTACGTGGGAACAGGAAAATGCCTTTTTTCTTTTGTTTAACTAGCCTGAGGCTGCATAAGCACTTTACATTTAAAGCACACACTCCAAGGATCCTGGGAACTGTAGTTTACCACTCAAAGTGCTGCAAATCGCACTTTTCACAATTCTTTGAAAAGGAATATGCTTTGAATGTGTATGCAGCCATAGCTTGAGTGTGTTGGGGAGTGTTATATACTGACTGTGCATCCCACCATCAGTCTACTGCATATTTCTAAATTACACCTATACATATTAACTGCATGCAGTTGAATGAAGCGGCAGAGCCAATGTGGTGTAGTGGTTAGCATGCTGGGATAGGGTAGAAAGACCCAGATTCAGTTCCTCTTTCACCCATGAAGCTCACTAGGTGACTTTGGGCCAGACAATACTGCCAGTTTAACCTACCTCACAGGGTTATTGTGAGGATAAACTGAAGGGGGGACGAAAGAGAAGCATGTATGCCACCTTCAGCTCTTTGGATGAAAGGTTTGTTGTGTCCAGCTCTTTATGACCCCATGGACCAGAGCACGCCAGGCACTCCTGTCTTCCACTGCCTCCCGCAGCTTGGTCAAACTCATGTTAGTAGCTTTGAGAACACTGTCCAACCATCTCATCCCCTTCTCCTTGTGCCCTCAGTCTTTCCCAACATCAGGGTCTGATCCAGCAAGGCCCTTGTGTTTTTTTAAAATGTTCTTATGGACCTTATTTAAGGTCAGGGCTGTAGCTCAATGATAGAGCAACTGCTTTGCATGCGGAAGGTCCCATGTTGAACCCCCAGTGGCATCTTCAGGTGGGCTGGGAAACAAGCCCTCTTTGAAGCCTTGAAGAGCTGCTACCAGTCAGTGTTGACTATGTTGGGCTAGATCAGCCAATGGTCTAGAGAAGCTTCCTATGTCCCCACGTTTTATGGAGCCCCTAGAGCTCCCCCTGGTGCCCCTGAACTCTCCTGCATCTTTGCTCTGGGCAAGATAGAAAGGTCACAAATAAAGATGTAGCAGCAGGCACATCCTTTAAGTCCCAGTCTTGTTTCTCCAGGAGGCCATCTCTCCCCCCAGCCCATTACTCCAGAGCAACCACCATCGCCCCAACGGCCTTCTTCTTGCCTCTCTACAGCGCACCGTTATTCTTGCATCCCTCAAGGTCATCTGGGTTTGTTTGCAAAAGGCTCCTGCATTGTAAAGTGGCATTTTAAGTACACACGCGGCCGCCTTGCAATCTCGCCAGCACCCAAGGTCACCGTGCGGAGCCTGTCAAGGGGTGAAGAGGGCAAAGTGCCTGATTCCTCTCTGAAATTGAAAACGCTGCCTTTCCTGTTCATTCCTTGAGGGCTGTCATGAGACATACAATTCAGCTGTTAACTGAGAGGGAGGAAGAGGAGTGTGTCTCGTATATGCACCGGCGGGTGGGTGGGTGTCTGGTGGAGGGAGGGAGGTTGTTTAAATAGCTGTGAAAAGCACGGGGTGTGTGTTTTACCCAGAGATATATTACACTTGATTAGGCGATGCGCTGGAGCGCAAATGGTACAACGGGAGACGGACGTGCTTAACTAGCAGTTCCAGCCGGCTCTCCGGTATCAGGAGGTCAAGGGAAAGATTAACTGTATCTGACTGCCATGTCAAAACGCTCAATTGGAGTGTTTATAAAAATATTAAAAAGCAGCAAACTAGTTGTCATGGACAAGAAGGGTAGATTGATATCCCACGATGCAGCTCCCTCCCCACCGAAAGCAACAACAAATCCATGGCGATTAGCAAGGCCTTGTTTGCAAGATGCTGCAGCCAAAAGGCCAGAGGAAACCCAGCTTCCCATCAGGATTCTGCAGCAAATGGAACGGAGAGGGAGAAAAGCCATCTCCGCTTTCGGTCTCTAACCTGGGCATGGTAGGAAAGAGGCAGGATACCTGTGGCCCTCCAGAGGGCAGGATTCAAATTGCCAATTATAGTGGTACCTCGGGTTAAGAACTTAATTCGTTCTGGAGGTCCATTCTTAACCTGAAACTGTTCTTAACCAGAAGCACCACTTTAGCTAATGCTCCTGATGCCTCTGTGCCACCGCTGCACGATTTCTGTTCTCAACCTGAAGCAAAGTTCTTAACCCGAGGTACTATTTCTGGGTTAGCGGAGTCTGTAACCTGAAGCATCTGTAACCCAAAGTACCACTGTACAAGAAAGGAGATTCCGAACAAATATTAGGAAGAATTTTCTGACAGCAAGAGCTGTTCAACGGTGGAATAGACTCCCTCAGAAGGTGGTGGCCTCTCCTTCATGGGAGGTTTTTAAACAGAGGGCTGGGTGGTCATCTATCACTGATTTTTTGGAGATCGTTCTTGCATTGCAGGAGGCTGGGCTGGAAGACCCTTGGGATCCCTTCCAACTTGACTGTCAGGCTTTGGGGGGACCCTATCCCTCCCATGGTGGCAGCAAAGAAGCAGAGAAAAAGGCTTTCCTTTCAAGATGGCTGCGCTGAGCAAAATTATCCCATTTCTGCAAAATGCATGGGGAAAGGATCCAGTTGTCGTTCTCTCCTTCAGCACTGGTTTTATGGCTTTAGTGGCACCGTGGGTCAGTCCCTTAACAAAATACAGCGCCATGATGAACCAGGCTGTACCATATACATATCCAGATCCAGTTCGGGATGGTGGCAATATGCCAGTTATTCCCTCCCACCCTTGTGACAAGGAAGGACCAAGTCTTGAATGGCTAAAGAACTTCTGAGATGGGCCCTTGTGGTGAACAGGCCTAGAGAACCAACACTGAAGGGGCAACCCAGACCTGCACTGCTCTCTGCTCTTTTGTGTACATGTGTAACATTTTCAGGATATAATAAACTTGCTAACTAGAAGAAGAAGAAGAAGAAGAAGAAGAAGAAGAAGAAGAAGAGAGAAAAAGGAAGAGTTCTTACTTCATTAATCACAGCAAGAGACAAAGGAATGCACTCACTCTCTCTAGATAATGGCGTTGGTCCAAGTAAAGTCCCAACCCCTACGTCTCTCCTATTCTACATCATTCCTGTGCTTTCTGCCTCTGATATCTCTGCTCTGCTACCCATTATGCTCTCCTGCTTCTGGGAAAGGGGGGGTCAGGAATGCTGTCCACTGACACTGAATCTGTCAGCTGTCTCTCCCCTGGTGCTTCCTCTTCCTCCTACTCCTCTCCCAATATTTCCCAGCTTCTCCCCTCTGCAGCCAGTGAACTATGACCTTCTGCAAACCACTATTCTAAATCTATACTGTCCTCCTGTCCTTGGGGAGGTTCAGGAGAAGGGGGGCGGTCCCCACCATTCCTCCTCAGTCCAGCCCCTGACACTGACTGTTCTGTGTTGCTGGGTTACAGCTCCCATCATTCCTTGGGGAAAGGGCACAGCTTAGTGGCAGAGCATCTGCTTTGTATGCACAATGCCCCTGGTTCAATTCTTGGCATCTCCAGCTAGGGCTGGTATCTGTCCCCTGCTTAAAACCCTAGAGAACTGGTGCTAGGAATGCCCAGAAATAAAGAACACTCCCTAGTAAAGTAAGACAGTTGAAGCATGTGTGGAGATACAACAGTGACAGGGAACCCATTGCAATGATGATGGTGGTGGTGGTGGTGGTGGTGGTGGTGGTGATATATTATTTATACCCCGCCCATCTGGCTGGGTTTCCTCAGCAACTCTGGGTGGCATCCAACAAAGATTAAAAATACATTAAAACATCAGTCATTAAAGACTTCTCTAAACAGGGCTGCCTTCAGATGTCTTCTAAAAGTCTGGTAGTTGTTCTTCTCTTTGACATCTGGTGGGAGGGCGTTCCACAGGGCGGGTGCCACTACCAAGAAGGCCCTCTGCCTGGTTCCCTGCAACTTTGCTTCTCACAGTGGGGGAACTGCCAGAAGGCCTTTGGCACTGGACCTCTGTGTCTGGGTTGAATGATGAAGGTGGAGACGCTCCTTCAGGTATACAGTGGTACCTCAGGTTAAGTACTTAATCCATTCCAGAGGTCTGTTCTTAACCTGAAACTGTTCTTAACCTGAAGCACCAATTTAGCTAATGGGGCCTCCCACTGCCGCCGCACCGCCGGAGCCCGATTTCTGTTCTCATCCTGAAGCAAAGTTCTTAACCCGAGGTACTATTTCTGGGTTAGCGGAGTCTGTAACCTGAGGTACCACTGTACTGGGCCGAAGCCGTTTAGGGTTTTAAAGGTCAGCACCAACACTTTGAATTGTGCTCGGAAACATACTGGGAGCCAATGTAGGTCTTTCAAGACTGGTGTTATGTGGTCTTGGCAGCTGCTCCCAGTCACCAGTCTAGCTGCCGCATTCTGGATTAGTTGTAGTTTCTGGGTCACCTTCATAGGTATCCCCATGTAGAGCGCATTGCTGGACTACAGCTCCTACCTGCTGCAGTCACCATGGCCAATAGCTAGAGATTATGGGAGTTGTTGTTCAACAAGATACAGAGGACCACATCCCTGCCATAGTGGCCAGGAGATTGACAGCACAATCCCATACACATTGATTCAGAAGTAAGCCCCAGTGGTGCATACTCCCAGGTATGCCACCATATGCTATAGACCGCATCCCTTGCCATTGGAGATGCTGGCTGGGAATTATGGGAGTTGGGGCCCAACAATATCTGGCAAGTCCCACATTGGGAATCCCTGGTTTAGGACTGTGATGCAACAGCACAGAGAGAGAGAGACCTGGATCCCAATTGCAGAGTCGTCTGCCTCTGGAGCTAAGACAACCAGCTTTAGAAACAGCATACACATTAACTAGTTTTAGGGAGTTTTACCCAATACACAAGCATTGTTCCAATCACACAAAAATTAGAGAAATTAATTCCCCGCCTACCCCCCCCCAAAAAAAGCAAAGAATGTACAAAGAGAGACAGACTATAATTCTGGAATCGACAAGGCCTGACTCACCAGTATTAACTGGCCTATATAATTATGTCATGAGAGTGCTTTAGGGAACAGACAGTCTTAACACAGGAACCAGATCCTTTGAGTAGAACAATAAAAAGAAGGGGGGGAAACCTTGAGGGAGGTGACTTTCATTTTCTTTTTTTAAAAGAGAAAGAGAGAGGAAAGAAAAGAAAAGAAGCCAGATTTAGTACTGTTCTAACTTGCAGGCTTCCCTTTCAAAAAGGTAATTGCAATGCATTAGTGTGCCAGAGAATGTTCCAAAGCATTTCGGTGAAATCTCTTTTGCTTTCACGGCCTCGGGACGCAGATGCCAAAACAACAAACAGCTGAAATCCAATTACAGTGGAATATTCTGAAGCCCATTTCCATCTGTAATTTGTTAGTCTGCTTAAACATGCAAAGTGATTTCGCTCTCATGCGTGGGGTGCCCGGCTTCATGCGTGCCGGAGCTCACACGGCAGACCACTTTAAATTTTAAATGGTGGCGCCCGCCACAGATCAGGATGATCCTCTGCGGTTCCTTTAATCAACTGTGAACTGTGTGCTCCAGTTTCAAGCATAAGTCCTGAGGGATAAAGCCAAAGGCCCATCATAGTCCAACATCCTGGTCTCTTGGCAGCCAACCAAGTACCTATAGGAAGCCCACAAACAAGACCTGAGCACAACAGCAACTTTCCCCACTTGCAATTTGCAGCAAGTGGTATTCAGAGAAATTTTGCCTCCAACAGAGGAGGGAGAACATACCCATCACAGCTACTGAGAGCCTTATCCTTCACGAACTTTTCTAATCCTCTTTTAAGGCCACACAAGCTGGTGGCTATCACTACATCACAGAGCAAACCAAGAGGCAGGACAGTCACGACTTAAAGACAAAACCAGAATTACACCAGATCTCAGGTAGATGAAGGCAAGCCCAGGAAAGCTGGGGCCATTGCATGAGAACGTGAGAAGACTCCTGCTGGGTCAGGGCAAAGGCCTATCTAGTCCAACATCCTCTTCTCACAGTGGTCAGCCAGATACTGACAGGAAGCTCACCAGCAGGATCCAAGCACAACAACAATTTCCCCATCAGGATCTCCAGGGCATTCAGAGGAGTCACACTGTTTATAACTGTCATGGTCGAACATAGTCATCATATGCCATCCCCTCCCATTCTGTCCTTTTTGTAGTAGACATTGATAACCTTGTTGTTGTTGTTGTTGTTTAGTCATTTAGTCATGTCCGACTCTTCATGACCCCATGGACCAGAGCACGCCAGGCACTCCTGACTTCCACTGCCTCCCGCAGTTTGGTCAGACTCATGTTAGTAGCTTCGAGAACACTGTCCAACCATCTCGTCCTCTGTCGTCCCCTTCTCCTTGTGCCCTCCATCTTTCCCAACATCAGGGTCTTTTCCAGGGAGTCTTCTCTTCTCATGAGGTGGCCAAAGTGTTGGAGCCTCAGCTTCAGGATCTGTCCTTCCAGTGAGCACTCACTGGATCCCTCCTTCAGAAGGGATAGGTTTGATCTTCTTGCAGTCCATGGGACTCTCAAGAGTCTCCTCCAACACCATAATTCAAAAGCATCAATTCTTCAGCAATCAGCCTTCAGCTCTCACTTCCATACATCACTACTGGGAAAACCATAGCTTTAACTATAAGGACCTTTGTCAGCAAGCTGATGTCTCTGCTTTTTAAGATGCTGTCTAGGTTTGTCATTGCTTTTCTCCCAAGAAGCAGGTGTCTTTTAATTTCGTGACTGCTGTCACCATCTGCAGTGATCCTTATCTCCCATCAATTTGCCCAACCCCCTTAAGAACATAAGAAGAGCTGGCTGGATCATCAGCCCAAAGGCCTATCATAGTCCAGCATCCTGCTTCAAAGTGGACAACCAGATGTCCATGGGAGCCCATCATCAAGAACAGAGTACAAGAGCTTTCTCCCCGCTTCTGATCCCCAGAAGAGCAACCCTCAAAGAAACCCCGAACCCTAAAAGGTTTTTGTTTGTTTTTGGGTCTCCAACTACACAGTTAATTTCAGCAAACAAGAATCAATCAATTGGGAAATTCCTTAGTTGCCACTCAAGGTTGTTGGTTTTTTAAAAAATTATTAGAGTTTATAAATAAAAATGCAAATATTATTGTCAAATACCATTATTTTTAAAAAACATTAATCCAGAGGCAGAAAAAGAAAAAGAATATAAACAAGGAAGGAAGGAAGGAAGGAAGGAAGGAAGGAAGGAAGGAAGGAGCAATCCACTCAAAGTTTTCATTATGGGCCAAGCTGCCACTCGACATCAGCCACAAAGACATCAGAAGCCTAAAAGTGTTCTCTCTCGCTCTCACTCTCTATTTCGAAATCCTGGTTTATTGATTGAACAGAAACATAACAGAGATGTGTGCCTGCTTCCAGAGACAGGCAGCAATGTAATTCCTTCAGCTCCCTGTCATTCAAAATTGGTCAGACTGAAGGTCATAAGAGTGAGAGGAGCAAATCCTGTTCTCGTCGAGTGCTTTGTTGAAAGGCAAAGTGCTGATGCAGCATCATGGTGAAGAGGCTGAACAGTGACTCAGGAAGCTGCCGGTTCAAATCCCACCTCAGCCAGTGTTCTTAGAAGAGCAGTTTTCTCTCTCTCTCTCTCTCAGCCTGCAATATGGAGGAGGGGAGAGATAATCATACTGACTTACAGTACAATTGTACTGTACTGACTTATCTTACAGAGTTGTTATAGGATTACAACAAGGCAGTAGCTTCTAAACATCTGAAACTCCCTAAACATATGTAGCATTATTTTGTTGCATGAATTAAAATAGGTGCGGTGAACATGCAGTCCTCAGTCTAATTTAATGGGGACATAAGGAGGGGAAATTGGGGGAATCCTAAACAAAAGGAGCAATGGAAAGAGGAAAGTTCTCTTCAAGTGAATGTTTCAGACCTCTGGTGTCACAGACTGGCTAGACACAAAGGAATGATGGGAGGCACCAAAGGGATAAAGGCTCAGAGCTCGGGGAGTGGTGGTGGGACAACAACGCATGGTCAGAGGAAGAAGATGGGGAAGAGCAGGTGTCAGAATTTGAAGAGGTAGCAGGGCTTGGTAAGAAGGGAGTGTCTGTGGCAGAAGGAAGTACTGAAGCGGAAGCAGGAGAGGAGGGAGGCAAGAGGCAGAGATGAATCAGGCTGGTGAAGAAGCCAAGGTATCTCTCCCTCCTGCTGCAACAAGCTCCCCTTCCCACTGGTCTCCCAGGACCAGGAGAGATATGAAGTGGGAGGAGCAAAGACGCACTGCTATAGTCTCAGATTTCTTGAGAAGTACCCAGAAGAGGAAAAGACTTAGGCAGCTATGGGAAGGTGGGAACCTTGCCTCATAGGAGCAAGACCTACCTAGAAGAGTTGCTGTGCTCATTGTGCCTGGTGCTCCTGTTCAGACCTTATTTCTTCCCATAAAGAGTTAACTTTGCATGCTTTTTTCAGTCAGTGTGATTTATTGCTGGCTGGCTCCCTGACATTTGGCAAGAGCGATCGGTGTCATGGCATTTGCTTCTGGGT